TTCCGGGAACCCAGGAGGCAAGAGAATTTTGGGAATGATGAGGGCAACAAATGTATAGATGTGCTTTACACAATTGATCTATGTATTGTGATAAATTGTATGAGCCCCAATAAATTGATTAATTAAAAAAAAAAAAACTTAAAAAAAAAAAAAAAATGTACTCACTTACTGCCATCGAGTTCATTCTGGTTCATAAGAACCCTACAGGGAAGGGTGGACCTGCTCTTGTGGGTTTCCAAGACGAAAACTTGACAGAGCATGAAGCCTCATTGTTTTTCTATAGAACAGCTGACTTCAAACTGCTTATCTTGTCATTAGCAAACCAACATGTAACCCATTACAATTATTTTCAAAAATTATTTTTGCAAAATGATTTTTGTTTTAATTCTTATACATTTTCTTTATTAAAATATTCCAAAGTATTTACTACTTGTTTCACTGTAGTTTCTATAATGCTTATTGTTGTTATTAGGTGCCATTGCTCTGCTCTATCTAAGAGCAAGTTTATATAAACAAGCAGAAAGAAACACCCCCTAATCTTGCACTCTCCTCACAATTGTTGTTAAGCCTGATCCTACAATTGCAGTCACTCTGTCAATCCGTCTTGATGAAGGTCTTCCCCCTTATCATAAACGTCTATAGTACCAAGCACGGTGCTTTTCCCTAAGGATTGATATCTCCTAAAAACATGTCCAAATATGTGGAATGAAGTGCCAAATCCTTGATTCTAAGGAGAATTCATGAGTGTACTTCTTCCAAGGGAGATTTGCTTGTTCTTCTGGCAGTCACCAAGACCATAATTCAAAGGCATCCATTCTTCTCTTGTCTTTCCTGCTGTCTAGCTTGTACATGCATACGAAGCAACTGAAAATATCCTTGGCAGCTTTTGTCAATTACACTAAGTACTCAAAGAGACATCTGTACTATTTTACAGTTTAATAGATCTTACATCTGACCTATGTTATACATAGTTTGATTTCCTGACTACTGCTTCCACAGGTATTGTGTTAGTCGGGGTAGACTAGAGAAACAAATCCGTAGAAACTCGTATGAGATTAAGAAAAAGGTTTATATATAAGAGCAGTTAAATAGTGAGAAAACATTCCAGCATAGTCCAGATCAAGTCGAAAAGTCTGATATTAGCCCAAATGTCCGTTAGCAATCTATAGGGTCTTCTTCAGATTCACGAAACACATGTAATGACGCCAAATGCAGGAAGATCACAGGCCAGTGGGTGCAAAGTCTTGTGGGCCCAGCGGTGTTGTAAGCATCTCAGCGCTGGCAGAGGTCTCCACACAGCTACACCCAGGGCTACATCAGGGTAGGTCCATGTGGCTTCTCCATCTCTCAGTGCTATGTGTCTTGTCAGTAGAGTATCCTCTCAGGGAATGAGCAGAAAAAGAAGTGTCTCCAATCTCCAAGGAAGAGATACTGGAGTTCCCAGAGGTCTCAGGAGAAGGCCATGCCCACACAGAGGCCTCATTGGCTATGACCTGATTGACAGACTACACCACCCCTTCATTTATAATCCTCTCAAATTGATACCAGATTATGTAACAACCACAAGCATTGATTGTGAATTTTAGTAAAACGAAATAGTTGATACCTTTCACCTTTTCTTTATCATGATGTTCCTATTGGCTCAGCTGTGAAGATTTTTGTTTTATATACATCAACTGGTTATCCTTACTGCAAACTGTAGGCATTAATCTTCACCAGTAAGTGCCTTACCTTCTTTACATTCAACAAGCAAGGTTGTGTTATCTGTATATGATAGATTATTAGTGATCCTTCCTCCATCCCTGGTGCTACATTGTTCACATTTTCCAGCTCCTGTGATTATTTCCACAGCATACAGATTGATTAATTATGGTAAAAGGATACAATCCTGACAAACACATTTTCCCAATCTTAATCCATTCAGTATTCCTTTGTTCTGTTCAAATAATTGTTTCTTACTTGATGTATAGTAACAGAAGTAAATGTTCTGAAATGCAAATTATTTTCAATGTTATTTGCAGTTTTTTATGATACACACAATCCAATGGCTTTACATAGTCATTAAAACACATAAATATATTTCTGATAATCTCTGCTTTTGGCAAAAATCTGTCTCATGTTATTAAATAGCTTCCTTATCTGAAAACAGATTGAACTCTGACTGTTTCCTGTTGGTGTCCTGCTGTAACCATTTTTGAATTATCTTTAATTCAATTTTATTTGCATATTGTATTAATATTATTTAGTAATGTCTACATGTCATGGGTCACTTTTGTTTGGAATGGGAAAAAATATAGACCTCCTCCAGTTAGCCTGTATTCCAAATGTCTTGGCATAGATTAGTGAGTGCTTCTAGAGTTATACCAGTTAAAAAAATAAACATTTAAAAAACATTTTAATGGAATTCTGTCCATTCCTGGAGTCTGAATTTTTCCTAATGCCATCAGTGCAGTTTAGACTTCTTCCTATTGTGCCATTGGTCATCTGTTATTTTGTGAAATGGTTGAATGTTGACCACTTCTTTGGGCTGATGACTCTGTGTGTTGCTTCCATCTTCTTTTGGGGCCTCTTGCATCATTCTAGACTTCATCCTTCAATATTTCAACTCAAGTGTTGACTTGTTTCTTCAGTCATTTTAGCTTGAGATATGCTGCGTGTATTTTTTCTTTCTATTGTTCTTACTACAGGTTTTGCTCTTTATTATTGTTTGTTACTTTGTCCTTCCGAGCTGTCTTTTGAAATTTTCAGTTCAGCTATTTTACTTCATAATTACTTCCACTCACTTTAGCTGCAAGAATTTGAGTACCTTTGATAACCACTTTGGTATTTTCTTTCTATCCTTTTCAGTGTCTTTTCGCTATCTTCATGATCATACATGTTTCGATGTAATCACACGACTTGCCGGCCCTCTGGTCATTAGTGTTTGATGTGGGAAATCTGATATTGGAACTGTATCTAACTTCAGGTCGGACATACTCAACAAAGTGTTTTTTGGGCTGTTGTGAACTTGTTTTATTTACTTCAGCTTCAACCTGATTTTTCACAAGAGCAATTGATTTTCTGTCCCCGAATTGGTCCCTGGCCTTGTGTTGGCTGATATATTAATATTCTCTATCATCTTTGCCCATAGATATAGTCAGTTTGATTCCTGTGTCTTCGAACTGGCCGAGTTCAGACGTATAGTCACTGGTTATGTTGCTGAAAAAAGGTATTTGCAATGAAGAAGCCATTGAATTTGCAAAATTGCATCCTGTGATCTCCATTTTTTTTAAATTACTAAGGCCATATTTCCCAGCTATGGATTCTTCTTCCTGAGTTCCAATTTTCACATCTTAATCACCAGAAATTATCAATGTATCTTTTATGTGTGTTTTATAAATTTCAGACTGAAGTCGTTGATAGAAGTCTTCAATTTTTTCATTACCAGCTTAAGTGATTGATGCATAAATTTGAATAATATTTGTATTAACTAGTCTTTCCCATAGGTGTATACATATTATCCTATTATATATGCTTATTTAGCATTTTAATTCAAGACAGACATTGAAATGCTCTTGGGGGTACAATTACCAGAGGCTTATTTAAACAGCTCATAATTGAATTGTATTTTCACTCTTCTAATTTCATATAATTTATTTTTAAATAATGAAATTGCAGTGTTTTTCTTGACTAGGTCACATATTACTTTAAGATCATTTATTATGAAAATTATATCTAGGAATAATATTAACTGACTATATCATGAATAAAGTTAAAGTCAAGAAATTCAACCTCACTATTTCTGAAAGGTGAAGTTTTAGATTTTCATGGGGTACACATAAAACTTTCTATGTGATCTTATCATGCAATATATATTCATACATATGGGTACTATTCATTTATACATATATACAGATGTATATTGTGATAGTTATAGTTTATGTCAACTTGAATTTGTATGAAAGTGTAGTGGTTGAGTCCAACCTGTAAATCAGGTCACAACTTGATGATGCCTCTTTGCAGGGATATGCCCTTTTTTACAAGAGAGAGAGTGAGAACTTCTCCTTCCTCTCTGCCCCTTCACTCTCCCTGCTTGCTTGGGCTCTGTGCCTGCCATTAGGGGTGACCCCATGTGGGATGCTAATCCTAGGACCCTGCCTGGTAGCTGTCGTGTTTATACTGACTTTGGATCCATGTGTCTCTGCACCTACCAGCCTGTCATCTCCCTGCTTCCCACTTCACCATTCTGCATCATCACCCTACAGCTGTGTGAGTCTGGTGAGGGCCCCGTCTAACAGCAAACTTGTGGAATTGAAATCGACTAGGCTGGGATGCCTTCTTGATATAAATTTCTTTATTATATGAGTTCATATCTTATACATGAGTGTCACTGGTTTTTTTTTCTCTAGACAACCCAGGTTAATTCAGATACTAAGGGATAATGTGCATGTGTGTGTGTGAGAGAGATTCAATTATTAGATTTATTAGTACTTAACTTGAAATGTAAAATCAACTAGTGAAAAATTTGGTCTCCTAATAAATTTCCAGAAGATATTTTGAATCCATACCCTATGAAAACATACATAAGTTTTAAGTCCATCACTATGTATTACGCTTTGTACTTGTATCTCATTGTGTGCCCAGAAGATGCCCAGGCCTGATGTACAAGAAGATCTAGCCCATAACTCACAGTGTACACTTTACCTCGGCAGATGGGTCGGTGGTCACTCCAAGCAGCGAGTGTCTCTGTGACCCTCTGGCAGGTGATGCTCTTGGAGCCCTGGAGCACGTAACTGTCCTCACAGGAGAACTGCACATTTGCACCAACCCTGAGCAATGCGAAAACAAAACAACACAAATTATTCAAGAAATCATTCTTTTTAAAAACAACCAACTTGCTGTTGCTGTGACATTCCATCACACCAGCATAGAAAGTAAATAATTTATTTAGCTATAAGAAACACAAAAAGCAGGGCATGTTCAAGGGTAATGTAACTAAGAGGAATTGCTGAAACCCTAGCGGGGACTGAGCATAATAGTGGGACAGGAGTAAAATCAAGGGAAATAGAGGAAAGAGCTGGGAGGAAAAGGGCATTTATAGAGGTCTAGATAAAGATATGTACATATGCAAATATATCATATGAGGATGGAGAAATAGATCTATGTGCCTATATTTACAGGTTTAGTATTAAGGTAGCAGAAGGACATTGGGCCTCCACTCAAGTACTCCCTCAATGCAAGAATACTTTCTTCTATTAAATTGGCATTCTATGGTGCTTACCTTCCCGACACAACCGCTGAAGACAAAGCGAGTGAATAAGCAAATGTGGCGAAGAAAGCTGATGGTGCCCGGCTATCAAAAAGTATAGCGTCTGGGGTCTTAAAGGCTTGAAGGTAATCAAGCGGCCATCAAGCTCAGAAGCAACAAAGCCCACATGGAAGAAGCACACCAGCCTATGCAATCACGAGGCGTCGAAGGGATCAGGTATAAGGCATCATCAGAACAAAAAAATCTCACCATAGTGAATGATGGGGGGAGTCTCCATTAGCAGGCCACTGGAGACTCCCTTGCAGAGGGGTCTTGGGGAGGAGATGAGCCAGTCAGGGTGTGATGTAGCAACGATGAAAAATACAACTTTCCTCTACTTCCTAAATGCCATCCCCGCTCCCACTATCATGATATGAATTCTACCTTGCAAGTCTGGCTAGAGCAGAGGATGTACACTGTTACAGATAGAAACTGGAAATACAGGGAATCCAGGGAGAATGATCCCTACAGGACCAGTGGTGTGAGTGTTGATACTGGGAGGGTAGAGGGAGAATGGGTTGGAAAGAGGGAACGGATTACAAGGAACTATATGTGACCTACTCCCTGGGGGACGGACAACAGAAAAGTGGGTGAAGGGAGACATCAGACAGGGCAAGATATGACAAAATAATAATTTACAAATTATCAAGGGCTCATTAGGGAAGGGCTAGCGGGGAGGGAGGGGGAAAATGAGGACCTAATGCTGGGGGCTTAAGTGGAGAGGAAATGTTTTGAGAATGATGAGGGCGATGAATGTAAAAATGCATTTTGCACAATTGATGTATGTATGGATTGTGATAAAAGTTGTATGAGCTCCTAATAAAATGATAAAAAAAATAACCAAAATACCAAATCTGTTTGTCGAATCTATTTCCACTCATACCGACCTTATATGTGGTAGAGTAGAACTATGTTATGAAAGAGAGTAGCAAGCGTTTAGTCTAAGGTATCTCTGGACAGGTTTGAACCACCAACATTTAGGTTAGTAGCCAAGTTCAGAGGGAACACTGGTGGCATAGTTATTATGGCCAGGTCAGCAGTTCAAAACCACTAGCTAGGGGGATAAAGATGATATTTTCTACTTCCATAAAGAGTTACAGTCTTGGAAACCAACTGATGCAATTCTACTTTTGTTCTAGAGCTGCGGTTCTCACCCTGTGGGTCTTCAACCCTTTCGGGGTTGAACGACCCTTTATAGAGGTTGCCTAAGACCATCGGAAAATACATCTTTCGATGGTCTTAGGAACCAAGATACCGCTCCGCTATCCATCTCCAGGCGGGTTGGCCCACATGCAGAAACACCCACATATGAGTACCCAGCATGAAGACTGTTACCCATGTTACATCTTGCTTTGAGACAAAATTTCATTTATTTGTTATTAGAAATAAATATTTCACAATATATAATTACATATTGTTTTTGTGATTAATCACTGTTTTCTGTATGTTCAATTTCTAACAATGAAAATACATCCTGCATATCAGATCCTTACATGATGATTCATAACAGTAGCAAAATGACAGTTATGAAGTAGCAACGGAAAGCATGTTGTGGTTGGGGGTCACCACAGCATGAGGAGTTGCATGAAAGGGCCGTGGCGCCGGGAAGGTGGTGAACCACTGCTCTAGAGGGTCACAGTCCCCTCGATGGCTGCGAGTTTGGTTTGGAATTTGTAAAATTCAAATCTTTTTACCATTCAGGGACCTTATACACATTTTATTGTTATTGTTGAATGCCATCAAATTGATTTCAACTAATAACAAACTCATGTGAAAGGTGTTTAGGCTCTACTCTTTATGGGAACAGATGACCACACCTCCCTTGGGGAGTCACTCGGACAGTTTCAGCTACTACCTTTTTGGTTAGCTGTCTGGTGCTTAATCATTGCTCTTCCGGGACTTTTTAACTCCATAAACCAACAAATCAAAACAGTTGCCATTGCATCAATTCTAATGCACAGTGACCCTATATAGGGTCATAATAGAACTATCTCCTTAGGATTTTCAAGGCTATACATCTCTATGTAAACAGGCATGATGCTCCCACAAAGCATTTGATGAGTTAGAACTGACAAGCTCCCAGTTAGCAGCCAACTTCTTAACCATTGTTCAATTAGGGCTCCTTAATACATACATTAAATAGAGAAACACATACAAACTCATAGCACCTATAGGGCAAAATGGAACTTATTTTAAATGTCTGAAGACTGTAAAATCTTGGGAGCAGAGAGCCTTATCTTCGTTCAGTGGAGTGATGCGATATTGGCAGTTTGAACTGACAACTCTGTAGTTAGTTATCAGCCCAACACATGACCCACAGCACTATCAGGGCTCATTTTTTACATGAATACAACCTTTAAATTGGAAAATGATGTGTGGCCATAAAACATGATTCAAATATCTCTGGAACTTTCATAAATAAATAAATATATAAACATTAATTACCTCTATAATAGATACTGTAATAAATCTGACACCAGAAAATCCTGTTGTTTAAGAGAATATGTATGGGAGTGAATATGAATACGTATTTAACTTTCAAAGAACTGAAAAAACCTCTGATTAAGAATATGTCTCACTAACCAATCTGTTCCTATAACACTTTGGTGATATTCAAAAAAGGTCAGTGGCACTGTGTTTCAGAAATACATTTTACAAGAGAAAAATCTTTTTTTTTTTTTTAATGAAAGCAATCCTTAGATCCCAGAGTTAGATAAAAAAATTGCTTTGGCTCAGCACATACATCTGAAAACACGAAGTTTTAAGGTTGTAAGCATTAACAAAATGCCATTGCAAACAACAATTCGACAGGTGTATAAAAAGATGTGAGAGGCATAAATCAGGTTTGAACACTCAATTACTTCCTCTGAGCCTGCTGCCGGGCAATAAGTTGAGTGTAGTATTATTTTACTATCTGACAAGCTTATTGTTACAAGAGGGAATGCTACTTTTGATTTCCATTTGACAAATCCCAGGGGTTGCTATTGAGGAAACAGTCATGAAAGTAAAAGTCTTTGCTAGGGAATATATGCATAGTCATCCATATGTATAGATACAGTGAAGAGTAGATAAAAGATAGAACACAAGATAACAGAATAGCTTTATGCCTAATTGAGGGGAAAATGCTTTGTCAATAATTTTGAGTGATTTTCAAAAAGTAACATTACATCAGCATTTCCTTCCCACTCTCTCTGGGGATGTCATAGATATTTTACAAAATTCATCAAATAAGAATCAAGTCATTTTGCAAAATTCTAAGTTAGACAAAATTAAGCATAGTTTGTTACAAAAGGGTTTATACACTAATTATAATCTAATATACAAGAAGCGTGTACCTCTTCAAGAGAATTTAATAGCATTTTCTAAAGGCATTTGTTGAGTGACCTCCCTTTTGATCAAGTACCATAGGCAAATCAGAGATTGATGGAATACATTTTGAGATACACTGAAAAATAGGTACACAATAGTCAATATATTTGAATAGCTAAAAATGTAAGGGCGTGGGTTCTATTTTCATTATCACCTTTCAAAGAACTGGAAAAGTAATTTTAATACAGTCAGACTCTGCCTACAAGGAGCTCTAGTGGGCCAATGTGCAAGCACACGGCTAACAACCTACAGTGCAGTGGTTTGCATCCACCTGCTTGTTTGGGTGAGGAAAATATGTCTTTCTGGAAAGATGGCGTCATAGTTAGATGATTTTATGTCACCTAAACACTACTAGCTAAGAAAGGAGAAAAACTTGTCACTCAGGTCAAGCCTGATGCTCTATCTTGGAAATGTGGTCTTCTTAGAAGGAGCATCTTGGAACCTCCTCTCTCCCCGTCATTTTGCAACCTGCTTGAACTGGGCTACTAATCTCAAGACCCGCTGGGGTCTGGTCATGTTCCCAGTAACCTTTGATGCACACAATGCTGAAGCCACTGGCCTGTGATCTTTGTGCATCATTCATGTGGCTGCGGAATCTGAAGGGGGACTTGTGGACTAGTGTTGGACTTATGGACTTGAGTCGGATTGGGATGGTATGCTTTCAAAGACCAAAAAAATATATATCATAACATTGTGAGTGAGGGGGAGTGCAGAGTGGGGACCCAGAGCCCATCTGGGGCAAATTGGACATCCCCTTGCAGAAGGGCTGCGGGGAGGAGAGGAGC